TACTCAACTTTTGCAAATACAGCTTGTTAGGCTTGTTACTAGCAGCTGTTACGGAAAGAAAAATCTTTTTCTTGTTTGCCGTTAGTGTGATGTTTGTTTTCCTATGTGAAAATGTTGACTCATAATGCAAAGTGAAGAATACCGAACTATTTGAACAGCTACAGAAGCAGTCTGATAGTGATGGCGGAGAAACGTAGAAGCATGAAAAGGTTTAAGACGACTTGGAATGTTTGGTTTAAACAGGACAAGGGGGGACAACATGATAGAGATACAAATGTTTTTATTGTAACAAATAAGTTAGCTACTGCTGCCTGTGATTCCCCCTAATCAAACGCGATGTTGCCCGGTATGCCTGAGTGAATAGAATGGAAACACTTTTGCATCGCAAAATTACCTTTGTAACTTCGGTATGAAATACTTCCTCAGGAACGTTGGAAAGGGGTTGTGTAGTTATATAGATGGGTTGAAAGGCATCCAGTGGTAGTAGATAAATTACATTTATGCTTTCTTATGTGCTTAATCTGTGTCTGGCCTGCTTGGCAGATACATACCATGAGACATCTCAGACCTATAGCACCCTGATTGTCCAGATCTTGTGTCTGACCAGTGTGCCTTACGCTGTCGTTCCTGTTGCTGTTACACTGCTAAGTACTGTCTGCCTAGGAAGCAACAGGGTTCAGGAAGAAGTTTGCTTTACCGGCTGGTTAATTACCATGAGGGTTTTCTTGCAGTTTTCCCCAAAGGGCCTGTCAGACTTGGGATGCTGACCAAGTGAATTACAGTTCTGGAGAAGTGTGAGTTGTGTCTGTTTGGGTCCAAACCTGCAAATACCTTAGCCATATGATTAAAATTAATGGATGACTGCCTTATTAAAGTCTGTCACAGTCTTCACACTTACTCTGTTAGATTGGTAAGGTTAACCCTGGAGGTTTCATCCTTCAGGGTACATTAACTGAAAGTTAACTTGGTAAGCTGCTTATTTCTATAGTGCTGAGTAAATGCAGTTCTGTGATAGTTACTGGCTGTCTAGTAAGAGCTATTTGTCTTTTCTTTTTTTCCTGTTTTCTTTTAATATGTATGTTTTGGTGTGTTTTAAAAATCTGATTCGTTTCTGGCTGTGGTAGGTGGTTTTAATAGTCATCAAACAATCTGAGTTGCTATGGTACTACTGATGATGTTGAAAGCTGTTTTGATTGTGCTCTAATTTGCTTTTTTTAATTGTTAGGGATGATTGGCTATGGCATGGCCAAAGGAGCAGTGCATCAGCTTTGTCAGAGTTTAGCTGGTGCCAATAGTGGCTTGCCTTCTGGTTCTGCTGCTGTTGCTGTTTTACCGTAAGTGGTTGCGTAGTTGCCTCTGCCTGCGTTGTTTTATTTGATTACTGCTGTAGCCTAGAGTCACGTGGATATGCTTGCCATGTCCTGCTCACAGTACACAAACAGCTTCTCGGATCTCTTTACAGCTTCACAGAGAAAGGAGGCATCTTGAATATACGAACAAAACGATATGCAAGTCACCCTAAAAATGATTAATTTCTTTTCCCTTCCTTTGCAAAACAGTAGTGGATGTTAGGATTAAAATGTGATTAACTTTTAACCAGTTGAACCATAGCCATGCATTAACATGTCATTTAATTACTTTTTTCGGTGTAGACAGAACTCTGCAAATGAGATGAGCTATTCATCACAGTTTTAGACTTAGCTGTATGATAACAGTAAAGCAAAGGATTACTTGACAAGTTTTGACTTGGTTAAAGATGGTTCTTCATAAGGTGCTGCACATCTATGCTTGCTCAGTAAGATTAAGTCACTTTGAGGGTCTGTGAAAAGGACAACTTTAGCTTGTATTTGCCTGTCAGCTTTCTTTTTGATGAGGGAGGCTGGTAAAAAATGGATGGCCTAGTTGGGCTTCAGTATGTCTAAGTTTATCAATTCTGCTGTAAAAATTAAAAGTGTTTTTCTTGCCCTGTCCATTTGTTCAGGACCCAAAACTTAAAAGAGTAAAAAGTTCTGTGTAGGGATTTAGAACATTACCTGAATTCTCCCTGCTTTGTTTTCCTCATATACCCGCTCTTATGCGCACTTCTTCAGGTCAGAGAGGAAGGGCATTAAAAGTGCTTGGATAGTTGACACCACCTTCTACAGAGCTTTGCAGACAGACACCAAGATCACTGGACTTTGGGGCATTCTGCACTTGCATAGTGCATTCTGCACTTTTGCACATGCAAAACTCTGATCTTGAGTGAACTTTTGAGAGAGTAATTACACCTTGAGTTGCTAACAGCATCTCAGTGAGGGAGATGTGAAAAGTTCACCCCTTAATATAATTGTATGTAGCGTAAATATGTATAGTCAAAGTCAAAACTTCTTATACTTGTGCGCTTACTCTCTGCATTTGCTGTGAGGCTGTTTGAAAGCACAGATGTAGTGCAGATGTGCTGTGCAGTGCATGTGACCAAGCTTATTGCTGCCATTCCCTGTCTGCATGAGAGAGACTGGAAGGGAGCTGTGGGCTAAGTGATTGCTTTAATGGGCTGGGTGTCATCAGTGAGCCAGGAAGGTGAGGGGTTATGTGTTGGAGCCTTTGATAAACGTTCAAACTGATGGCTATATGCCTTTAACACACGTAGAGGGTGCAAAGGAGGTCCATATCACGTGGTATAAAAGTCAAACATATGTTACAGCAATGAATAGGAGCAGGTGGTGCTCATCAGAAACATGATGTATAAATAAAAGGCTTATCTTTTTTAATCACAGGGTTACCTTAGATACACCAGCAAACAGGAAATCAATGCCTGATGCAGATTTCAGCTCCTGGACACCCTTAGAATTCATTGCTGAGTGAGTATCCCTGTGATAACTAAGCAATTCCTCACTGTCGCTCTTGCTGCTGCATCTTATTGCATGTTCTTTCAAAATGGCTGTCTTGGATTTGGGTGGGGTTTTTTCCTTCCATCATCTCCTCATTATGTATGTTTCTACATCATGTTGGGTTTATTGCAGAGGCTTCTTAAGTGGAGAAAATGAGCCCAACTCTGTCAACTTCAGCATCTCTACACCAGTTACTCTGACAAGGGAGATAGCCTTAAGCAGTTATAAGCCAGAGAATCTCCTAAAGCCTATAGACAAATTAAATTGCAGACAGCAGATGCAGGAGACAGTAGTCTGGCTTAAAGGTAAACTGCAAATAGGCATGTAAACTTTGGTGGGATTTTTTTGTTGTTGTTGCTTAAAACACTCTTTACTGCCCAGTCTATGGTGTGTTAGTTCACTTCTCTCAGCTGGCAAAATTCGTGCTCTTGTTAAGAAAAAATTGGTCAAGACTTTTTGTTTTCCATCATCCACAAAGGCTTGTCCTGAATGAAGTTGCAAAGTGCTGAAACTTCAACTGTAGTTTGTGTAACAGCAGGCTGAGATCATAAGGCTTACTGTTTCTTATTCCTCTGAGAAGTACTGCTTTCTGCCATCTGATGGGGAGTAGCAAAGATTCTGCTGAGGGTGAGCTGGCAAAAGGAAGAAAATAAGTACACAACTGTCTTGCCTCTTTGAGGAAAAACAAAGATAAATCTACATTCATACATTGTAAAGGGCTTTACTCTTACACAGCTTTAAAGTCTTTTAGAAGTAATGCTGAAATTGCATTTGTCTTTTGCTAATTGTTCAGAGTAGTTTAGTTCTGACATTGGATTTCCTTTTTTGTGTGGGGTTTTTTGAGTTTGATATCAGAGTGGGAAATGGTTTTAGTTGCAAGAAGTATATGCAGCTGTTGAATGTGGCTTTTTAAAAGGGCCCCATCAATTGAGTTTAGTTGGCCTAAAAATGTTCAAAAAAAGATCTTTAATTTATTGTGCTCCAGAGACTGCTTAGCCAGATGTTGTTGTTTTACAAATTAATTTTTTAAATTTTCACTTTTAAGTATTTTTTCTTATGGGAGAATTAGGTTGATTTGGTTTGTTTTGGTTTTTGGGTTCTAATTCCCTAAACTTTAAATCCAGCTTTGAAAATTTCACTGGCCATGGAAGAAAAGCTTCTAATGTTGTTAAGTGTTGGTAATATCTGCATCTTGGAAAGGATACAGGAAATCTTTTCCTATGTGGCACTTGAATTTTGTGCCCTGGAAGCGGTTGTGTCAGGTAGCAGGATGTTTCAATGTGGCAGTTGCTATGTGTGCAATATTGGAAGGGTCGATGGACCTGAAAAAATATACTGCACTTTCTGCATGTGTTTGGAGTAAGGAGTTTGCTTCACATTTTGATAAGGAGCGTTCTGGCTACCTAGAATGAGTCCATCTTACTTGGCACTATTTTGGATGCCTTAAGGCTTTCTGTGCTTGTGCTGAGACCATTTTCGCGGTTAAATATCAGTGTTACAGTGCCCTGCTGGCAGAGCAATGGGTTCAGCAACTATTTTAGCCATAAATCTGTGATTCTTATACATACTATAAAGGCGACTTAAGGGCCTCTCCTCTTCCTTTTCATTTTTTTTTTTTTTAACTTGGAAAAAACTTGCCACTTTGGTTTGCCACTTTGACATTTTAAGCTTCTGGCCTTTTCCTCTGAGATGTTCTGAAAATCCTGTGTGTGCGCGTAAAGCCCTACGGATTTCTCTGGGCTTCTGGCCAGCTCTGAGGGTCTGAGTCCGGTGATCGCACTGCTCGTGTACAACACACATAGAAATCACTAGGGAGGGCAATAGGAAAAGAAGGAAAAGTAACAGACTTTTATTTTATGCTTCCCATCAATATACCTGATAGTAGTAGTTATTTTTTCCCTCCTCCTCACGCTGTTTTATCCATTTATTTTAAACCAGAACCTTCTATGACTGGATAACAGGGAAGAATCGACCAAATTCCGGGAGTCTAATCCAGGTGATAACTACAGGAGGGAAGACTGAACTGGTTGCAGCAGCACATCTTTGATGTCAGTCACTTAAGGCGGTGGAACTTCAGCAAAGGAGAAGCTATGGAAAATCTGTCTCCCATTATAATTTGGATGGTCTTCTGTATCCAGTGATTGCAGTTGTGTCACTAATGGAACCAGACTTCAAGTAACATTTCTGAAATGGGAATTATGCTTAATTATGTCATGTAATCACACACATAATGGTTGGTTATTTTTTTCTCAGTCAGTAAGTGTTTCTGGCAACTTACTGTGAGTCTTTCAGCAGTGTGTCTGTCTTTTTCTGTCTGAGAATATACCGCTTCTCCTGCATATTGTCTTGGCTGTAATTATAGGAAATATTGCAGTCGTATATAATGTCCTAGTCTTGTAACATTTTTCTTACAAATGTTCTACTTGAATAATCTGTACAGTTCCGTTAACTCACTTGAGAAGGAGTTCCTAATTTGCCTTACAGTTCAGAAGCTGCTATAAGGCCTACAGTTATAGGATGAAACAGTTGTTCTGCCAAATGGTTAGTATGTCTTTGTGTTAGTCGTGATGGTTCTTTACTGTATTTTCAAAAAGCAAAGTGCTCTAAGGAAATACTAGAAAAAGCAGGCACGCTTCTATTTCAATATGGGACTTTCTGTGCTAAATAAATGTATATTGTTTTATGTACTGGGCTGTCTCCATCACTGTAACCCAAATAGCTGGATAACATTTTAATCAGTGGAACTGGACTTGCAGTTCAGTTATGGCAAAGGACTTAATTTTTTACTTATTTCCTTCTGATCATGCTGCATAAAATACATGTAAGTGATGGAGGTGCAAAGGAGCTACTACCCATGCACAGGGGCAGGCCTTCAGCTGGGGCCAATGCTTTCTTCAGTCCACTATGTGGAAATACAGTTTGGTTGCAGAGTGAAAGTGTTGCCTGTTCTGAGCACAGACTTATGTGCAACCAGTGCTGTCTCTTTTTTTTGGATCATCTTGAAAACAATTGAGTATGTGTAGTTGTATGTACATCCTCTGTATGCACTTTTTATTAACTTCAGGGTTGTGTTGGGCAAGGATTTACTGCTATGAGTCAGGAAACCTTTCCCCACTTCCCACTAGACAAAGCTTGCATGTGCCCATGTCAGTTTTGACGTGGTCATACAATTGCATGATTGCCTTTTTTGGAATGACTGTCCCTGTACTCATTTTGTTTTGTAGGATGCAAAAGTGTAGAGGGGAGTTTTTATGTCCTGTCAAACCAGTCAAGAACTGTCAATTTGTGAAGCTGCTTTTGATTTGAAATGGAAGACTCAGCTGTGCTGTTTGACCAGCAAGTTCTACAGGCTAAGAGTACAGACACAAACTGCAAGGCACTGATAAGGCAGGAAGCGCTGGGGTGTTGGTTGCTTATTGTGGAAAAGGGAAGAGCTATCGTACTCAAACTTAAGCAATTCGAAGGATTCCCTTTGCCAAGGTAGCTGAATTTCCAAGTTGCTGTGTTGTCTTGCAAACATTTATTGTCTTGGAAGCTCCCTGAAGAGCAGATCAAACTCTTGAATGGTGAAGGGAGCACAGCTGGGATTCCAGATGTATGTCTGTACAGCTGTATAAGAGCACAGGGACAAGGACCTAGCAGCCTGTATGGCTTATGGATATTTTTGCAGAACTTGCTGTGGTAGAAGATGGTAACAATGCAAATGGGACTAAGATGAGCGGAGAATCTTATTTGCAAAGGGCTGCAGGGGCTTTTCAGGCATCTTTTGTAGATGACGTGCACATACCTGGGCCTTAATATTATTAATAACTTGGTGAAAAAGGCAAGTGGCTGGTTCTTGGTCACATGGAATTAAGTTGGAGTTGTGACTAACCAACTCTGAAATTATACAGGAGGAAAGAGGGAAACAAGGTTTAGGTTTTGGTAGGGGACAAGAGGTCAGAAAAAGACAATGAGGTGCGATCCATGCATTTCAGAAGTTGGACTGATTCATTCTTCAGTTGAAAAATCTAATGGTCCTTGTAGGGACCACAGACTGTGGTTCTGACCTAGATGCTTCAGGTATGCCCTGCCAGTGCCAACCAGAGGTAGGGCCTTGAAAACAGGGGAGGTGGCTACACCATGCTAAGGAGAGGGCTGCTAAGCTTGTGGAGACCTAACCTGGTTAGCTGTCTCCCCCCGTGTCACGTTGCATGAACGCACCAGCGCGGGTCTAGGAGCAGAACAGCTGTGTTTGGGCAGTGGTGGGAAGTGAAGCAGAGCCACCAGGCACCGTGTGCAGCTCTAGCTGCAGTGCCGGTTCAGCGCCTCACGGGGGTCTGCCGTGTGTGCCTGACTGCTGCTCTCGCCCAGCTCACTGAATGAAAGGCTGTGTGTGGGTGTGGTAAGACAGAGTTGCTGTATAAACTCTTGAGACGGAAGAAATCCACGTTGAATGGACTGTGAAACAGCAAATAGTGTTAAAACGTAATTGTGAATGGAAGACTGTTGAGTAGATTATTGACTTTTATCAGTTGCAGGTGTGAGTGCAAAGATCTGAAAATGGCATTGTTGAAGCTTGAGAATGAAGGTGTTGGCAAGTGTATGTCAAGCCTACTGCTAGAGGTGAAAGATTTAACCTGGGGAGTTTGATGGAAAAGAGGCTTTATGTGACCAGTTTCATCCTGTGTCTCTACAAACTTTATTCCAGTTAAGTAATTGTCTGGGGAAAAAAAGCCACCCATGCTGCAGACATCTGGGTTGCCTGGCTCCTTCAGCAGGCTTGGAGATCTGTTGGTGCTGCAATGAGGAGAGATGTAGTCTGTGGGAAGTGCAGGGAGTTAATCCATACTAAACACGACACACACAACTGGAGACTGCAGGTCAGTTGTGAAGATTTTCACAGGATCCCAGAACAGGTTGGGTTGGAAGGGACCTTTGAAGATCACCTAGTCCCCTGCTGTGGGCAGGGACAATAGTGCTTCTTACAGAAATACAAAACCTGATGAATTTCTACCCTAGTGTTGCTGAGAACTCCAGAGTTGTTCAGCATATTTTACCATTTACATGGTACCATCAACAATGATATAATGCTGCAGCAGTAAGAAGTTTATCCTCCTTTAATTTAAGGAATGCGATATTTATTCATTTTTTAATATATATTAAGCAGCTGAATTTATCAGGTTTTTTTTTTTTATTTAGGACTATACCACTGGGGTGATACTAAAAAATTGACAGAGACGATTTAGTAAAGCACTTTTCTGTACGACCTCCTTTCGAAGATGCATAGTACTGTGTAGCACAGAAAGAGATGGGTGAGGTCTGGGGAGAAGTGAAACACAAATCATGCCACGCAGGTAGGTCCTGCTCTTACTCTCCAGCCCGTTTGTGTTCAGCAGTCTGTTTTTTTACAGGTGTAGCAGCCTATCTGCCCCTTGTTCTTAGAAAACGGATGTTTCCAGACCTGAGCCAACGTGCCTTTGAAAAGAAGGTGCAATTACATGGTACATCCATACACGTGTAGGTACAGTTATCTGAAAGTGGGGCGGCTGTTACACATGGCACCAGGTACAGAGGTGCAGAGGCAAAATACGGCTCCGTCAGGCTGCCAGGGCTGCCGGGACAGGTCCATCTGTATGAGTATTTTTTCTCCTACAGGTTTAGAAAATGTAGGTTTTAATAAAGCACAAGTAAGAGACTTGTACAGTTTAATAAAGCACATGAGAGAGACTTGTACAGTAGAATATCAGTGATACCATTCCAAAGACCTCTGAAGTCTGGTCAAGAAGCTGGTTTTGACCTTTCAGGTGTAAGTGTGTGAGAACCTGAGCTGCGGTTTGGGCTGAGGCCGCTGTCCTGCGAAGCCTGACCCATACACGGTCCTGTTGCTTGGCAGAACCTTTGGTTCATTGTGGAAATCAGTCTGAAATGTTCTCAGATTTCACTGTGAAGTGAAATTCACTTATTTTGCCAACGTGTTTAATTAGTTTTCCAAAGTTATATATTTGTGAGAAAATTAGTTTTCTACCGATTAGCTAATAACAATTGCCACAACGTGAAGGTTTAAATTGTGCACCCAGGGAAAACAGATGTTATGGTTTACAAGTATGACGGTAGCTGAGTCATTCAGCAGTTGCAGTTCTACATTAACCCAAAATTGCACTTTGAAACCTTTTGTTGAAATAATTCATTATGCCAAACAAGCACGATTTTTTGATAGTGGAATGAAAACCATCACCACAACAAAAAATAATGTTTGTTATCTTGTTTCTTCTTTCTCGTATGGGCTCACTGGAAGAAAACAGATGGGGCCTGTAATAGCATGTGGAGATGCTTCAGACTAACCCTCGTAGTGTTGAACAAGGTGAGAAGCAGGCAGACATCTGAAAAGCGTTGCAGAAGTCAGTAGCAAATGTCACCCGAGATTTAGATCCCTGTCAGAGAATATCGTTCTTGCAGTTCTTGAAACACCGTGTTCTAAAGGCTTTGCCTTATAAATCCGGCCAGCCTCAACACAGTCTGCGAGGGCTCGGGGATGCGATCGCAGACTCGCCCAGCTCAGTTG